GTACCAGGGGCACAACACCAGGCCAGCCCAAAGAATCACCTAGGTACATCATGCAAGCTTAATGTTAGCTTCCTAGCTCTCAGTTGTCTTATGTAAGCAGGAAGAAACTGAAGTTCCTGCCATAATGAGTGARGTCATTAAGAATTGGTGGGGACGGGGGTGGGGGCTGGATGAAGCTGACCAGTTCACAGCTGGATTTCCTTTGAGAAAACAGTGTTCTCTGTGTGCAAAATACTCTGTAGTGCTTTGCTGACCACTGCAGGGCTTCCTGGGGACTTGTGTCTTTTTGATAACGAATTGAAGCCCTTCAGTGGGGTTTACTTTGAGAGCCTTGGTCCTAAATAGGGATCTGGTTTAGTGTAGAGTCTCTGAACCTGCCGACCCCAGGGTGAAGGAACTTGTGGTCMGTCTGACCTAGGCGCAGGCTGCCTTCCCAGCAGTACCCTTGGGCCTTTCTGTCCCTCACTGGGTCTCTTGAGGAGTAGCCAGTCAACAGACACAAATGAGAAGCACCTSGTGCTCTCAGCCACAGGACGGAGTGTGAGTGGAAGGAGTAGGGAGCTGGGCAGGGAGGGACAGAGGAGAGATTCTCATCCTCTGGGAGCTCCTTCCACTTGGGGAGAGCGGTCGGTGGACAGGCAGCTATAAACCAAGCCTAGACCTAGGGGAGCTGGAGAGAGAAGGGGGCCACTGACAGTGCTCATTGGTCCAGGAGTCAGGGCAGGAGAGGTCAGGGGATGCAGCCATGTACCTCCCATGACCGTTTTCACAGGCGTGTTTGATGTGGGGTCTGGGTTGCCCTCTTACTGTGGTCTGGCCCATGTTGCATCCAGGTTCTTTCAAAGGAGGATCTGCCATTGGCTGCTGGGCTGCTGTGTTCATGGTGGCCTCTCTTGTCACCACCCCTTCTCAAGTCCATCCTGTAGCTCCCTAGTACCCCATCTTTTCATGGAAGCCCTGAGGCAGTGATTCGGCTCTAAGCCCCAGGACGGGTCTCTGTGTGCAGGAGGTGAGCTCTATGCAAGGAGAATGGGTCACCCTCTCCTACCCAGACACCCCGCCACCATCACCACCGTACACACCCACCTTGCTTCTTAAACTGAGTATGCAAAAGAAATGGCCATTTCTGGAGACCCTCTGGTTAGTTTTCGTTTCTGAAGCCTGTATTCCTTCACCAGAARGGTCAGAGCCTCCAGGCATGTCCACACCATGCCCTCCCCATCTCCTCCTGTGGCTGGATGGCAACTGGCACGCGCCATTGTTTTCATGTGAAGGCCAGCACTGGCCTTCCTGATCCCTGGAGCAAGCTGCTCACTTCGTGCGACCATCACGCAGGGCCAGGATTCTGCTGAAGCTGGACGTGATTTTAGAGAAAGGAGAGCGTTYATCCAGCACAAGAGCCCGTCAGAGGCAAGCAACCTGTGTGTCTTTGAGGTGCCTGTGTGTGGTGGGGTGCCTGTTCAGGTTCCTCAGGGCTCCTCAGTCCCAGGTAGACCACTCTGCGGTTGCTCGCATTGGACTTGTTGGAGGTTCCAATGCAGAGAGCTGAACCGAAACCCAGTGCACAGARCAGAATTTGAATCTTGACATTCGAATGTCACCCTAGCAGCCGCAAGTCAGCTGCTTATTGCTGTGAAATCAGTGTAATGAGCAGCCTAGCCGTCTTAGAAACACACCCAGGTCCCCCTAAAACACCCCCATTTCTTTTATTTTTGGGGAGGTGTAGACTCCAAGCCATTGCAGGAGCTGCCGAGTCGGTGTGTCTTGGTTTTGGAGTGTCTAAGGCAGGGGAAGAAGTGTCTCTGAGAGCTCAGTGACTACAGAAAACAAAGCCCCTGGGAGGGTGACCTCCTAAAGCCTACTGTGAACTCCATCATCATCGAGGTCACTGCCCCAGGGGGGAGCAAAGCCTCCCTGTGGAGTGTGGACACAGGTTTCCAAGGGAGGAAGAGCTGCTGTCGGAGGATGCTGGCTGCTCCCTGGGGACTCTGACAGCTGTTGAATGGGAAGGCCACCTGTCCCTGTCCGTGCACGTGCTTCGCAGACCCCCATGCCGCATGTCATGCATGCCACATGTGTTTCTGGAGATTGACGGCTGTCGGGCCTTTGATTGTTCAGCAGCCGTCTCTCGCGGAGGCTCCGAGTCCCCTCAGAACCTGGTTGTCTGCTGACCTGGAAGCAGGCAAAGGCTTAAGGAAGCCTGGCCTCACCAGAGTCCGCTGACCGCAGGCCCCGTGGTTTGGGTCCAGTGAGGAGCCAGGTGCAAGGATTTTTTCTTTTTCAGGAGAAAAAGTTCCCTGAAATGTATAAATAGGTGACTTAGGGCTTCTCTCAGGGAAAAAAATAAAAATCACCCTCCATTTGAACAACAGTCGGAGGTAAGTGTGACTATAGTCTCACGTGGGAAGCTTTAAGGATGATCTCTAAAAGACCCCTAAGCAGGCTGAAAATTATTCTCTCCAGTTACTTTCATTTTATTAAGGCAGAATTTAGATTAAAAGGGAATTGGGGCTGGGGATGTGGCTCAAGCGGTAGCGCGCTCGCCTGGCATGTGCGGGGCACTGGGTTCGATCCTCAGCACCACATACAAATAAAATAAAGATGCTGTGTCCACCGAAAACTAAAAAATAAATATTACAAAACTCTCTCTCTCTCTTTCTCTCTCTCTCTCTCTCTCTCTCTCTCTCTCTCTTTAAAACCCACAGGGTGGGTTTCCATGCCATGGAACGAGACCCCTGGGGCTGGGGCAGGTGGAGTGGTCCTGGCCGCCTTCCTCCCACACCCAACCCCTCAGGCTGCTGGGGGACCCCTCTTTTTGGCTCTAGCTGTCTTGTGCTCTGGAGTCTCCCCAGCTCCCCTCCTGCCTGGTGGACCTGGCCACTCCTCCCTGAGGCTGCGTCTTTGGCGCTGGCTCTGAAAGGCCCTGTTAATCTGACTTTCAACCCAGGCTCTGAGCTCTGGGTCTTATTCATCTTTGTGTCCCCACGGCCTAGCACCAAGGAGATAAAAACTCAGCAATTGTCAAATGAATGTGTCGCTCACCCCAAGCCTGGAGTCATCTCCACTCATGTCTCCAGGCCCCACGGCTCTCTCTCTACCTGTCCAAGGTAGATGAGTCCCGTGGCTGCACTCTGTGCCCAGCACTGCCATCTTTCACCCACCACAGGGCTGCGATGGCTGGCCCGGGCTCCCTTGGCCACTTCTGAGTGTGCGCCGCTCGCTCAGTTCCTGTTCTGAAGAGCGCCTGTCATCATCCACAAGCGGCAACAAGCRGATCTGCTTTAACACCACAGGCGGCTGTTCATCTCCCTTACTCCTAAGACACGCTCCTTAACAGATGCATCAAACTCGGCAGGGGGCAGGGGGCTCCTGTTTTTGTTGTTGTTGTTTCTTAGAAATAAAACCAAAACGTCATTGTGGTATCGATACTGTAAAGAACAAACTGGAAAGAAAAAAGAAAATTTCAATTTCCAGAATAGGCCACCTATCACTGAGTTGTGAAATCAAATGAAATGTGTTTTTTTAATCCCTTCCTGTCTGTCTACATTGAATTCACCCTAATCTTGAGTAGTTCTTGGGGAACCCTAATCCCACCTGCCTGTCTTCCTGCGAGGTTTCTTGTCCCTCAATGGGAGCCCTAAATTCTCACATATTTGTTTACCCAAGACCCCAGCTGACTCAGATGACACTCCTTCCTGGGATTTCCCAGAGCACCTGTCTCTGCCTGGTCCTGTCCAGAGTGGAGGCTAGGGTGGGATTAGTGGCAATGTCACCTTCCTCCTTCTCTGAGAGTCTCCCGCCTTTCTAAACACGGTGATGTTTCCTCTAGTTGTGAATATTCCTATTTCTTTCTTTTTTCCTCCCATCTCTCCTTTGAGGAGTGGGGTCATAACGTATGTTCAAACCACTGGGCAAGATGTGAGCTCAGCCACTGTGCTGTTTTCCGTACTGTACATAGTTGTTGTGCTCAGAGGGGAAGGCATTCCCTAGTCGCCCTGTCTCACCTTCTTGCATAGTCTGGGAAAATTCTGTATGTCCTGGAGCTGTCTTTAGTGGCTCCACTGGTGAGACAAGCAAGGGAGAAAGTCCTGGGCATGGGGAGAAATGAACGGAAATACAGCTCAGGGTTCCTTGGGGATCACGGGGATCACAGGGATCCCACGCCTACTCTGCAGCTTAGCAAGGATCCTGGGCCACCTGWCTGCTTCTGCCAAATGATGCAGTGAGCTTGTCCATCTGGGTGCTCCAGGAAGCAGGGCAGCTGCCCAGGTTACCCCAGGCCACAAGCACCCCAGGCTTGTGTGCCCCACCCTTGGCTAATCTATAGGGCTGAGTCTCTCTTGGGCATTTCAGACTTGTTTTCCGTTACTGTAAAAGAGTACATGCCATTAAAAAAAAATCATTTTTCAGTGTGCCATATGTAAACCTCACGATGATCGTGATGTATTCTCACTCACACTGAAGAACATTGCAGTACCACAGTGCTGTTGTTGTTTTTTTGCCACTCTGCACTTAATCAAAGGGCCACTAAGATACAGGGCTACAGTGTTGTCCATGACTCTTCTGACATTAGAAAAGTGGGCGGTGGTCTTCATCTGGCAGAGGCTGAGCAGCCCGGATGGAAGACTGCAGGTGTGATGAGGTCTCCTGCTCTCAAAATGTCTAGGGCAGCTGGGTGATTTCCTTGTCCTTAGGGGCCTCGAAAATCTAGTGGAATGAGCGGAATGGCCATGGACCCAGGCACATCCCCCAGAAAACCAGGACTGTGGCTGCAGGAAGCACCCAGAGGAGCGGTTAACACTGCACCTCGGGCCTTCGCTGGCCGCTCAGTGGTCAGCGCAGCCATTTATGGGTGTGAGCCCTGCAGAGTTTGTYACAGGCTGTGGCTTAGAGGAGGAGAGTTCCAGGGAGAGTGCCAACTCCACCACTCCAGAGCTGTGTAATAACTCTGTACCTTCTGTAATTAATCATCTCCCCCCCCCCACCTTTTTTTTTTCCAGATAACTTGTTCAAACCCAAAGAAAGGTGCATTTCAGAGAAGGAGATGCATATGAGATCTAAAAGGTACCTGGTTATTATGTGACATGGGAGGAATTTGGGGAGGGAGTTGGGGTGACATGACAGTGCTGACCAGTAAGGTCATTTAGGTCCATGTTTAAGGTCTGAGGTCCTCTTGGCTGCAAATCTGAAAACACTGGTTTAACCGAGCACAGCAGCAGGAGTGTGCCTCTGAATGCTCATCTGCTCTTGGAGAAACATAGAAAGGGGTGGTCTTTGACTCTGGACCAATCCAGTACTGGTCTCTGCTGCTCCGAGCTGGCATCATCGCTGTGGGCTGGAGCCGTGTTGCTGCACCTCTGAAGGCGATTTCATGGAGGCCAGACGCTGTTTCTCCCAGGGCCTGACAGCACCAGAGCCTGAAAGACAGGATCCAAGCTGGAAGCCGCTGGAGCGTGGGAGCCAGKGGGGCCTTGGAGGGGCCACCAGCCGGCTTTCCTGGCGCTCTGGCTCTGGCAGGCTTGGCGGCCCCCGTTCAGCGAATTCTCCCTGTTGTGCTCGGCTGGTTGTTTGCCAAGACTCCCACTAATTCTCACCAACCTGGTGCACACAAAAGCTGCCATTCTTCAGGAGACCTGGCCACTTAGCCAAAATGCTAAAGCTCAGCAGTGTTGGCCACGTTCATGCAAGGACAGTCGTCAGGGCACAATAAAGCATCCGGCACGAGGAGGGATTATAATAATTAAATCAAACTGATAGTGACACCACTGAGATAGAAAGAATAACCCCACATACACTCTGGCCCCAAATCTCTACTTTTACTGTGATTTTGTTGTTTCCCATGATAATTAGACCACTTTGATTGTCCCCAGGGAACACCTCTGTCAATCAGGAAATGAAAGCGACAAGAAGGTGGTCCTTTGTATCAGAGGCCTGGTTCACAGCATTCTGTCCAGGGTTTATAAAGGCTGCTGGGTTTGAAGCCTTGCTGTTCCACAAGTACAAAGTTGTGTGTTCCTTCTGCCAAAAGCATCTAGTTTTCAATTTAGCAGGGGAAAAGTATAGCCAGATTCCTCCCCGTGTGTGTGCGTGTGCGCGTGCACACACATACACACACACACACACACACACACACACACAATCCTCAACCCCAGACCCACTACTATGGAGCTTTGCAAATCAAGCAACTAAAATAATAGATCTTAAAGCAGCGTCGGTAGCAGAGTCTTGCTCCATCCTTTCACTAGGAGGAAACTGAGGCTCAAAGCAGACAGGAGAGCTGGTGATGCTGCACCCGGGTCGCTGCTCTCCCAGCTGGTCTCTGAAGGATTCCTCAATCTTGTTTCTCTCTGCTCTGTGAGACGTGCCCTGGCTGGATGCTGGCCCTGGCTCACCTGGAGCTTTTCTTTTTTTTGCATTCTCTGTTATTAATTTTACTGTTAAATTATATTTTAAGTTGGAAAAAAATGAGACAATGGAGATAAAGCTCAAGTCCCCTCACAACTCCTGCTCCCCTCGCAGCCTCCTCCCCAGCCCCAGCCCATCTGCTGCAAAGACCTTCTCTCCACCTTGAAGTAGACTTCTGTTTGTTCACGAACACTTACGTGGTGTTGGACCACAATGGTGTCATACCATGTTGTCCACAGCTTGCTTTTCTCACAGTGTAATGTCAGAGGACACAGATTGTCTTCCTTGCAGCTTTGACTCTAGGCAGAGTATGGCCCATGGGATGGGTAAGACCATGATGTATTGGAGGGGTCTCTCTTAAGAAACTAGTAAATCAGAAACAACCAAGGAGGGGTCTGTGAGTTTTAAACTCCTCAGCTGACTTGGATGGCCAGAGTCAGGAAGCGACGTCCGTGGATCTGAAGGATTTTCCACCGGGGAGATTTGGGACATGATAGCTCTTCCTTCTGATCCCGGATGGGCTCCTTTCTGGAATCATGTTTGGAGTATTCAGGAATACATGAAGGATGTGTGTTCCCAACATTTCCCCACCCACCAGCAGCTTCATTCTGTCTAGTTGGGTGAGCGCTGTGTAGAGGGACAGATCAGAGACTGAGGTCTGAGTGCCAGCTCCCTGTGAGCCCGCAGCAGGGCTTCACCAAGTCTCCTGGTAAATGAGGGCCTGGGTTCCTCATTTTTCTAATGGTGGGACACCACCTGCCTCCTCCAGTGGTCATGTGGGTTGAGTTTACTCAACCACCAGGTCAGCCTGGTGCCTGGTAACTAAGATGTCACCTGCTGACACTGTTATCATCATTATCTTTGTTTTTGTCCTATAGTTTTGATAATGAAGCAGATTGCATTGGGCTTTCAAACATGAGAGAAAAAAGCTATTTGAGCTGAGTGCCATGTGTATGGCAACCAGCAGCTCTGGCTGCAGTGGCCCTGCTAGTCGGTGGGTTCTAGAAGCAATACTGGTTGACATGGGCACAGAAAGAGTTTCTGTTAGGAAAGAGGAAAGAAGAAGTGTCCCTCGGGCCCTGCCTGTAACTTAGGAACTCCCACTTTAACATAAGAGAAGGCCATAATAACTGTGCCCAGGATGTATTTGGAAGCAGCTTAATTAGACGTGCAGTCTCGTAAGAGGAGGCACACAGACCTTTTGGCATGTTTGTTCCAGCATTGTGATTCCTGCCACTTCTATCTGTTCCGCCTTCCAAGTCTCTAGAAGGCAATCATTGGGTGGCAAAAAATTAAAAAAAAAAAAAAGGTTTTGGGGGTCAAGGTTGAATAACACTCAGAATGCAAAGCAGAAGGTTTAGAATCCCCCGATTTACAAGTTACTTAATTATCCCTGAGGGTGGAGGGACAAGGGAAGACCTGGCCCCTGCAGCTTGGCTGTTGCACTGGCCCTACGAGTACAGAGACGAGCTGCTGTCCCCAGTGTGGAGCTGTTCTGGGGACAGGGGGAATCCTTCATGTTGGCATCTCCCCACGGGAAGGAAGCCCATGTGCCTAGTCTTTCTTTGAAGTGTCAGAGGCTCTGACAAGGCAGGATGCTCTGTGCCCAGACACAAGCTCTGCTACCATCCAGAATGTTCTCTGTGTCTGTTTCAGAATCTATAATAATTTGCCAGAAGTTAAAAAGAAGAAAGAAGAGCAAAAGAAAAGGGTTATCTTACAGAGCAACAGACTCCGAGCTGAAGTCTTCAAAAAGGTAACGGCTCGTGCGAGCAGGTATGAGGCGTGTGGCCCAGAGCCGTGAACATGCACTTGACATCTCTGTTTCCCCATCTCTCCAGCAATTACTGGACCAGCTCCTTCAAAGGAACGCAGTCTGACCTGGGCTGCCCTGCTGACCACAACCTGGACCTGGGAAGACTTCAAACACTGGATAAGCCATTAAACTTAGCATTACCTTCACAACATGAAAACACGTATTTTACTTTTGATTTTTTTTTCCATAAAGGAAAGAATCACTTCCTGAATGACCCAAACAAACAGCACGCCTGAGGAACTAGGTCAGCAGTCTTGCAGGGATAGTGACTCCATGGAACCCGCTAGTCTTTGTCCCCTTCTTCTTCTTTTTTTTTTACTTCCGAATTTTATCTTTGTGTCTAGGGCTTCTCCTGGCCATTTCCACCAAGCAGATGGGCCTTATACACTCAAGTGTGTTTTGGTCTCTGGGGGAYTTTTTTTTAAATAAAATTTCTGGGACCAAAATCCATCACTTTTTATATACAAATCCCAACATCTGCCAATTCTTGCAAAATCTAAAATAGGGGTCCTCACAGCATGTTTTAAAACATGCACCCCTAATGCCAGAGACTGCAGCGAGAGCAGACTGCCTCCCTCCGCTGCCCTCTCTCCCCCGCCCCCACAGCGCCTGACCTGGCTTAGCTAGAGTCTGTTTCACCGGAAGCTGAGGGCCGAATCCGCTGATAACGCTGTAGGAACATCAGTGTTTTCTGCACACGTAACCCTTCCTCAAAAGCTGTTTTGTTAAAGTGGCCTAACAGCTCCAACTCTGCTATTTGTTTTTCCAGACACTTACAATGTCCAGTATTTATAAATGTATTCAGGAAGTTAAGAAAAGCTAGTTTTTACAGCAAAAAGGAAATAAATGCAATTATTCAAAAATTCAAGTGTTTCTCTCTTACGTATGCTGATCTGGATTGAACAGTGGCGACAGGTTAACAATGGTGTGAAATGTCTTTGTGGGGACCCCAGGGTGACACCCTCCTTCTCTGCCCCCTCTGGCTACCATGGAAGTCCTTGGCTTTCAGATGCCSCATGGGAGAAAATCCCCTCCAGAGACCTCGTACAAGAGAAAAGAGAAAACTGCTGGGAGCAAGATTTAGGATCCTAAGCCCCCCAGACTCACCAGAAGTGCCCCCAGGAATGAGAGAGAAGTTTTGAGGATGCAGCAGGACCCCTCTGTCCCTTTCCCATGGTGTCAGCCTCCCTGTCCGACCCTTATGGCACATAGGATGCCTGTCCATTCCCTGTCCGCTAACCAGCTGCCTTCGGAACTGCACCGCAGGGTTCTCCCCGACACCCTCCTGCTCTGCTCTGCCCATGCTCACTCTGCTTGACCTCCTTCCCATCCATGAGAGGCTAACAATGATAGCAGGAGCAAGGCTCGGGAGCCCGGCACCCGGTCTGCAGCCAAGATCCAGGAAGGAACCCACAGGGCAGTTTGAGAAAGTTTAATGCACTTATTAACCACACAGAGGACGGGCACCATGAGAAGTTAAGACGCCTCCAAAGAACACAGGTAGGAACACCAGGTGAAAGGAGTAGTGCTACCTCTAGAAAGTCCCCTCCTGCCCCGGGTGACAGGGAATGGTGTGGTTCAGCAGATAACAGAAGTTTCTGTGCTGCTGTGCAGATGGAACTTGTTGAAAATCCACCTTCTGGAACTTGCCAGAAACCTGCACAAGGAGCAGTCTGCTCTGTGGCCATCTGCTCTACCACCAGCTCAGGAAGGCCAGTGAGTRTGCACTGCAGGGGCCTGCCTGAGCTAAGCAGAACCCAGAAAGCAGTGCCTTCCTGTCCTGCAGTGTCTCTGTAGCACTTCCTACCAAAAGGCTTACCTGTGCTAGCAGGCAAAGGGAGATCATTCAAAGGGCCTGGATCCATTTTAAAAGAGCAGGCAAAAAGGGTGGATTTGGAGGTGACAGAATACAATCAAGAGCTGGCAGAGTAAGACATTTAACCTTGCTTCAGGTTCCTCAACTGCCAGATGCAGAGAATTACAGTGCCTCCTTCCCAGGGTTGCTATGGAAACAGAGTGAATAAACCTGAATGGAGTGCGTGGCAGGACCCTGGCCCCAGAGCACACCTGGGAGTATTTGTCCGTCATGGGCAGTTGGGAGGAGGAGCAAGAGGCCGCTGGTGTTCATCTCGGAACCCCTCGGGGTGAGGGGCCTCGGAGGCCACAGACCTCACGGCCTGGCTGCAGCTGCAGCCAGTGTACTAGCAGGTGCTTAGGAAAGATACCTCACCCTGCTGGTGCTCGTCTCACCCTGGGGATCATTTCAGCCACACAGCTAGCTCGCAGTAAGRTCAGTTCTGTTTCCTTGAACTATTAGACTCTCCCAGGATGCTACACTCAAGTCAAGTTTGCCTCTTAAATGCTTTTTTTAAAAAACATTTTAAGTCCATGACATTTAAGGACAGTCTTTCCTAGCTAATGTGGCAGACCCACCTTTTCTTGCTTTTATTGAGTACCTTCAGAGAAGCTTTTCCTAACCATTTAAACTCAGGACCCAACCACTTATACTCTGTCATGTGACACTTTTCAAGAAATGAATTTATGTCCACTAACATTTTTAAAAGAAAAATACCTAGAGGGAACCAACTTTGAAAGAGTCCCGAAAGAGCTTGTCCCCCTTGCAAACCTGTTGCAGAGCCCTAAAGTCAAGAATAATACAAGTCAACCTGAGATTAAATACATTGAAAAACGTGCTTCTGGGGACAGCCCCTAACCAAGTGCCTGAGGTGGAGTGTTGACCAGGAAGACATGCAGTCGGTTTGAGCTGGTCTTGCCTCTGGACTGCCGGCTTAGGGCAGGCTAGATATTAAAGTTTGGTTTCCTATTGAACTGACTTTTCCCATTGTTGTAGAAATTGCTTTTAATGCTGACAAGTGAATTTTAGTGCCAGCATTTCTTCTCTGTTGTAATTAGGTTATAACAAGAATATAATCATGTAATAATATGGAAGTAAAGGCCTRAGGAATCAAAACAGCCATCCCTTATATTTCTCTTAGGAATTAGTCACCATTTGCTGGATTCTTTTCTTAAAAGACTTCAGGAAAGACTTATAAAATTTTAAAAATTCTGAATGGAATTTACCACTTTAACTTCAATAAACAAATTCTGTTCTGGAWTTGATTTATCTACATCTGAGGATGTTTGGTTCTGGCATGGAAAGAGGTCCTCAACAATTCAGCAGGTAGCTGGGGCTAAAGACCTTCAGCTGAGCTTAGACAAGGTAAGATTGGAATCACAGGGATGTCCCAGTGGTGACAGCACCAGACTGTCTCCATGTGGTCGCCATGACTTCAGGTTGAAGCAGAAATTCCTATTTTGGTTATGTGTCCTCTCTGCCAGCTGGTAATGGAATAATGGAAAAACAATCACTTTGGTTTTGCAGCCAGCGTCCACTGCCAGCCAAACTTCCTGGAAGTTGTGTGCGCCCGGGTGAGTCAGCAGATGCCTGCTCATACGGAACAAGGCTCTTTGGAGGAGCTATTTGTGAAACAGGCAGTCGTGGGAGAGTGCTTGGAAAGTCCATGTCTCATGCAGTTCTCCCRTTTCAGCACTTGGTGAAAAATCGCGGCAGTGGAGCTGGCCTCTGAGCGCATCAGATGACCAAGAGTCTGAGTATGAGGCGCATTAGATAGAGGCCAACAGGAGCGGGGAGCTGGGGACGGGATGTGGCTGCCCAGCGTGGAGGGGTGGAGGGGGGTGCTCTGACCATCGGTACGTGAGAGTTCTGGGTTAGAGAGTAAGAATGAGTTAGAAACGTGATCTGCCCTGGGTTTGCGTGGGGGACAGTAGTGTGCGCAGGGACAGCGCAGGAATCGCGCTGTTGAGCTGAGAGTGAGCGCAGCAGCAGCAGATGGTGCACAGGACGGTCCTGGACTCTGCTTTCATCAGTACTTGCCCGTGAGTGTCCAGCTCTGCCGCACCTCTCAGAGTTGGCTGTCACTGGCTGAAGCAGTCTGCTGCAGGAACTGAATCGTCTGGGAAGTCCCTCCAGGCCACTCTTGTCTGTCCCACACTGAAGGGACGTTTCCGGGCTGTCGGAAAGCTCCTGGAGGTTCCCGCCCCSCTTCTCCCAGGCCCAGCGGCTCGCCTGGGAGTGGCGGCTCCTTCACTCAGGCAGATGTTTTAGCCACATGGAGCAACAGCTTTGGCAGGGCTCCCCGGGAATCCAGGGCCTTCTCTCAAGTTGTTCTCAGGCACAGATCTGAGCCTCAGACCCCAGGGGACTGCCTGACGTAGCTGTCTGGGGTGTGCGTGGAGGGGGGAGGCCGGACATTCAAATCCTTCCACTTTTCCCTTGCCTCTCCTTGTTCACACACACACACACACACACACACACATGCTGCACGCCCCTGACCTGCCGGAGGAGCTGCTGGAAAGCTGACTTCCAGCCGTGGCCTTCTCTCTGGTCTTTGCGCATCAGCGAGCAGGAGAAGGGAGGGAAGGAGAGACCCTGTCCGAGGTCTGGCATCTGGAAAGAGTGCCGGCTTTTCTTATCAGTACTTGAAAGGGAAGACGGAGAAGCTGAGGGTCCAAACAGCATCCAGGGAACAAAATGAATTTCTCTAGATGGTTTTTAGTAAATGGCACCAAGAGTAAACACAGAGAAAGTGTCCCTTTGATGGCTTTGGGACATTCTTCTGTCTCAGCATCTTCCCAACATGCCTGCAATGGGGGATACAGCTGAAATGGATGTGGGGAAAGGCCACAGCTGTCACCCATGCTCACCACACACGGTGAGGATTGTCCTTTCATGGAAATCAGCAGGCCACAGGCTTACCTGCCCAGTAACCAGAGAGAAGGAAATGACATGTCTGTTCACACTGCCGACTTGTACACGTAAACCCACGCGCCCGTGTTAGAGCCTCTGTGGCTCCTCCAGCCTGATGGTGGGGACACCAAACGGATTCATGGTGACAGCCCTCTGACAGGTCTGCCCGGCCAAGTGTGTGCTTCACATTAAAGTTTCCGAATATACACAGAGAGTCTTTGTTTTTGTTTAAAAATATACCAGAAGGCTAATGAGACCAGGTTTAATTATTATCTGCTGACAGAATTATAGCACTAGGTCTTGAAATGTTTATTAAGTAAAAAATGACAAAATAACTTAGGCTG